ACAAACGCATTTAGACGCCTACAATCTGTCCTTCCCGGCGTAGAAGGCGACAGTGGGAAACGAATCTGGAGATAAGCAGCAGCGTCTTCCTAATAACGACTAAAAAATAATAAAGTGCGGTTACCAACCCGTTGCCAGAAGGCAACTATGGCAAATATCCCACTATGACGAAATCTATGGGGGAGGCCTATGTTCAACAGTGGAATTTAATAGGCTGTAACGGTAATTTGTCCTTCATTAAGGAACGCTACAGCATGGCTTCCCTTAAAGCTGAATGCACATTTGTCCGCGCGGTACGCGCCGTACGCGCCGAATTTTACTAATGGCCTCGCACATTTGCATGTACGCACCGTCCGCGCCGTACGCAAATCTTTTGGATTGCCAACAACTTTTACAGTTTTTTCCAACCACTGGTGTGAAACGGTACATTAGATAGATTAGATTGAAGACATTCATCGCTCGAAATCACTATGAAAAAAATATTGTAATAGCCTGCTTATTGGCAGAGGAAGAAGAAAACAAAATTCGAAGAAAAAGAAGATTCTGGATTCATAGTATTAAACTTTATTTAAAGACTTATTATTATGATGATGAACTATTTTTAGATATTTGCATTTAACATACAAGAAATTTCAAGAATTGTTACATAATATTATGATTTCATACAACGAATTCTAAAATTCAGCGCTTACGCCGCGTATACCAATACTCTCTACAGAAAATGACACAAATATGCAGTCATCTCTCAAAGACTCATATTTGCACCACTTACTGCCTCTAATGCCGCCACGGCTCTAAACGAGGTACCCTTGAGATGAGAGGTTGCCAAAGTGTCTACGCAAGTAGTATTTACTTTACTTTTATATTTTTTAATTACTTACTACTTGCTTGTTATAAAGAAGATACCAAAATAAATTTAATAGTAGCTACTTTCCGCGACTACGCTAATATGGACTTCGGTTTAGTAAATTCCTTTAATGTCAAATATTATGTTCGGTGTGCGTCAGTGGCAGAAGCATATTGGGCATATTGACATGGATACAATATGTGATTTTTCCTATATCGTGGACGCATTTTACATAATATAAAATGCACAAGTACAGACCGGAATAATTATTTGTATGCCATACGAATATTTATTTAGCGCGTGATAAGAACCTGTGGCCCTCATCACAGTAATTATTTGCTAAGCCACTCACTGCGCCACGGAGCCGTCAAATTACTTAATTATATAATTACTTGATTAAACCCTTTACTCAAATACAAACATGACTTTTAAAACTTGTGATTTCAAATGAAGCCACTTCTTTTCCTAGAAATAAGGTAATATACCAATACAAAATATTAAAATGCAACTACTTTAAGTCACTATTTGCCGCCAAATGGTGATAATGTTTAAAAAACAACTATGAATATGTTACATAAGAGAGAGAGAGAGAGAAAGGGCCATTTTGTAAGCGAACATATAGATTCATTTGCAATATCCGCCGGATTTCACTGTACTATTTATAGATTAAGTTTGGTAACGTATTGTTTTAAAAAGAAAGAAAGAAAGAAAAGAAAGCAAGAAACACCTTTATTTAAAGCTACATAATAATATAAAAAAAAAACATATTTATAGCTTATACCTTCTCGGATATTGTCATTTCATCATCACCCTGGGACAGTTTATTAGTAGAAAAGACTCTTCACTCTAAAATCGCCTCGCAGAATCTTGTAAACTCTTGTTCAGTCCACCAGGGAGCAATCTACATTATACTACTTTCACTTTTCCAGCAGAAAATATGTAAATTGCATTCTGTTCTATTCTATTTTAGTTTCACGCTAAGCTGATAGAACAATACTCTATGGGTGATATTTATTATCATTTATCATGTGATAACGATGAAAGGTAATTCGTCCCTTTATTATAAAAACGTAAAATAGCAGCTTAACGCTGCTGTGTTTCGTATGGTGAGTGTAGAGAACCGGAGACCCTTTTTACTGGAAACGAGGCATTCCATCTTAGTCCTTACGGGTGACAACGCCTCTGCATTTTGATTTGTAATCGAGGATACATGTAGATGTCTGTGTGCCCCAGCAACCACTTACCATCAGGTGGACTGTGTGCTCGTTTGTCACCCTTATCCTATAAAAAATATCCCGTTGGTGTAAAATAATATCGTCTTAAATACGAGACCTTAATATATAACCCGTACCCCGTACTGAAGAGTATTGACCCATGGATTAAAATTTTATAATACGCAATAAACTGAATTCGAGGCACATTTGGTCGTTTTCTTCCAGCATCTCATTCATTAATCCATAGAGTTTACCGCGTAGTGATGAAATTGGCATTTCAAGAAAAATTATTTATCTTCCTCCTATACATCCCTTAGTTAATACAAATTATTTTAAGGTAACGCTAACAAAGGAACACTATTCATCTTGATACAAAATGGATGCTGCGGTCCATATACACCTACATATATGCACGAATAAGAATCGAAATGCACAAACGCGTCGTCACTCCTGAGGACTGATATCGAATGCCTCCACCAGTGAAGGGAGTCTCCAGTTATTGTCTCTCGTCATCCAATAGAGAGAAACATTATGCTACAATTTACGTTGCTATTCTGTGCGAGCGTGGGCTTTCCCCACGCGAGCTGATCTATATTTTTGGTGCAATCATAATACGAAAAAGCGTGGCTCCATCACAGGCGTTCTGAACTATAACTAGTAATGACAGACGTTTGTTGCAGCTTAGGAGACTCCACTTACCTCGAATCATCTCGTTAGTGCCTTAAGAGGCGAGAAAAGGAAATGAGGCAGGGTGTAGGCAGCATCATCTTCCTGATAGAACTCGAAAGAATGAAAACCTGCGGTTTTTATTAATGTCCTCCAGACCAAATTTCGGTCACGGTGTCCAATCTCAACGTAGACTATCCATCTGCACAGGACAGGATTACAGTGCCAGGGTGTGTAACGCAGGAGCACGCCCTGTTCCTTCATTCTTACATTCTGATTGAACAGTAATCCGACACGACCAGAGAGACAGATGCAGGACCAACGGCTTTACGTATTTTACGAGGCACGGAGGTGAAACATCGCCAAGTTACTACCTCCGGGGTGCTACTCAGAAATTCTCGACAGATAAACCCAATAACTGATTTTGACCTGACCTGGAATTCGAAACTGGGACCTCATGATCGGCAACAGAGGTTACGATCACTAGACCAACGATGTAGGCGGTTGTATATCGCCTCTATAAGAATCTATGGGTGAAGCCTATGATCATAAGAGGTATTTTAACAGGTTGTAATGAATGAATGAAATATCAATTTAAAATTTCCGAAAATTAAAAAAAGAAAGTTTAAAAATTAAGCATCTTCGCTAGCAACGTAATACTAATCGACTAGATTTTTGAATGCTGATGAACATGATAAAACGTTTCTCTCTCCAGTGCGAGCGTTTGGTGCGACGCAAGCTATCTCCGCGCTTCACTGCCTTGAGTGTTGTACTACGTTAAAACATGTACGTATCGATATCGAAACCAATACATGTTGAACTTTAACAGCGAAACCAAATTAGGACACGTATTCTTAACGTTACTAGATTTTTTTTTACAAATAAGGGTGAAAAGCGAGCACACAGTCCACCTGATGGTAATTGGGTGCTGTGGTTAGTGTTGCCAGGTATCCCGATTTTTAGGAGTATGGTGATACTTCCCGATTCACCCTTGATCAGGACGCCAAATATCCCGATATTTCACTAACCTCTGTAGTTTTATTTTAATCGGTAATTTTGACAGCAAAAATTAATACATCTGTAAGATTAAAATATTTCTGCATTGATATTTTTATATTTTCCCCACCAATTTCAGAGTCTACAACGATAACTAATCCATGAATAAGTTTTGATCCTTAATAGAATCAGGCTTTACTTTGCGGAAATCCCAACCCCATAACAACCCCATTAAGTTTTGATTCGCCGAAACAGAAAAACACTGACGAAGGTGCAGTTTTTCCGCTGTTCGGCCGAAAAATTATTCGTTCATTAGATCAGACCCAAATAATAATTATAAAACACTCATAAAAAAAAACTTGACTCATGGCGGCCAGTAGGTTACAAAAACCTGTTCTTTTCTTGTAGTCATCGTGGCTGTCCTGGTTTTAAAACCAATTACCTGATTATTTTACATTCCGTCCTGAAATTTGACACACTGCACCTGGCAAACATATAACATCTACACTTATTTTCATTTAAGAATCAAAATTCAGATGCGTTGTCACCCTGAGGACTAAGATCGAATGCCTCGTTTCCAGTGACGAGGGTCTCCGAATCTTTACATTCACCACACGAAACATAGCATTGTTAAACTGCTATTTTATGCTGGTATTCTGTGAGAGCGTGGTTCTACCTTGGTCGAGCGGCCCCATTCGTGCTACAACCATAATATATCTACAGCGTGACTCTACAACGTATGAAAAATATAAGTCAAGTGCAATATATAATATATAAAACTTAAATCAAGTGCAATATTGTCTTTTAGAACGTCGTATTAGCTTATTACAATAAAATGTAACCTATGAATGTGATGAATCAAACAACTCCAGGCACTTTAAAACTGCTCAAGCAAGAGGCAGCAGGTCATAAGACTTTACTTTTCAGATAGTCGAATAATAAGCGAATAAACAGCGTTAATAGAAAAATTCGGTATATTCTTCTATTTTCATTATTTGTATGATATTATTCAGTGCATTATTTATGTTATTATATAATATAAAATAACTCAGTAAAGTACCAAAAAACTAAACGATTACTTAATCGACAGTGAAACGAAAGTAGCTATCACATCACTACACCGAACGTAGAAACAATCTCGAAGAAAAACATTGCTGTCCGCGCATAAGAATACAACGCATTTTTCAGTTCGGACGCACACGGTACGCGTGCTTGTGAATGAAAAAAACAAACAAACAAATGGGGCATTCCTTCAACTAGTTATGTGATATAGCAGGATGACGAGTGACCAATCTGTTTCGAGCACCAGCTCGCGAGTTAGACAGTTTGGCTTATACAGGACAATTGACGCGAGGACCGAGGAGTTCTTAAGGCTTTCGAGGAGACGTCAGATACGGCAAGGCTGCGCTTGCGCCGCTGTCTCCACCGCCATCACCGTCACCATAATTGTTGTAAGTGATTCTTTGTAATAAGTTAATTTAGATGTTATTTAGAGAAAGCGTGTTGTGTGTCGTGTTGATGACATTGCATGTTTAGTGCACGTTGTTTTTAATTGTTTTTTATGATATTTTTGTAGTATTATTACATTATACTTGTATTGTAACTAATATTTGATACAAATGTCTTTGAACTGGCCCTTTCTAGGTAGTCCTAAGTCCTTAGACGTATATACACACACACACATATATAATATATACAATATGTAACAAAAACCCTGTGGTTCCCGTTAAGTACGTTATCAGGATCATTATTCAAACACATAGAAATAACTTTTTTTTAAGAACTCGAACAATTATTTTTTTATATTATTTAAAAAAAATATTTGTATGCAAATTGTATATGGGTTTATTACCTCTGCATTGTCTGGGGAGTAAGAGGATTGTCAAAGACCCCGCTTTACTTAGCTTTAGCATCGGCTAGCGTCAGTAAGAGGTAATAAAACCACATAAAATTCAAAAAAAAATTAATAAAATAAAAAAAATATGGTCGGTAAAAAAAGAAAAAAAAGTTTTTTCTATAGGTTTGAATACTGATACTGATAACGTACTCAACGGGAACCACAGGGTTTTTGTTACATGTTGTATATATAAGGCGATTACTGATCGGACCAGTATCGGTTATTGGGTATTTCTATCAAGAAATTCTCATTAGCATCCTGGAGTTGCCCGGTGCTCCCGTTGCCTCGGAAAGCACGTTAAACCTTTGGTCCTGCACCTGATCTCTCTTCATTCCTGTCGAATTACCGCCCCATCGGACTTTCATAGTGAGGGAATAGGAATGCTAGGTGCTTACGTATACACGTGGACATTATAATCCTGTCCTGTGCCGACCGAAATTCGGTCTGGAGAACATTGTTATTATTATTGCCAGGTGGTGGGCGGGCCTTCACCCCTTTGTTGTCGATATTCCACGCATTATAACCAAAAGGTTTGCTTCGTCTTTTGTAATGCGTACAGCAAAGGAGTGGAATAATTTTCCGCCGTCTATCTTTCCTTCCGAATACAATCTGGGCGTCTTCAAGGCAAGAGTGAATAGGCTTTTGTTACGCTAAGACAGTGCGATTTACCATCTAGGGCTGCATCACCACTTACCACCAGGTGGGATTGTGGTCAAGCACTGGCTTATAATAAGTTAAAAAAATCCACTGTTCACACTACGTAGATAAACATATTTATAAGTCACGTCGAAATCGGATAATTAGTTTGAGAGGAGACAGAACTGAAATATGCATAAATTAGATGGCTACGGTACGCTCTGCCCCAATAATCATAAAACAGGATGTGAGGCATTCTATCTCAGTCGTCGATACAACAACGCATCAGCATCAGTAGTCTTTTTGAAAGTGTCTTGATGTCTTCATAAGTTCATGAGCTACAATAGCCACGTAACATTGTCAAAAATAATTATAATATTTATAAGTAAAAATGACAAACAAATTAACAAACATAAACGAAATAAAAACTTGGGATTGTCAATTAATAAATCACTGCATACGAAAAAAATATGTTGCATCAATGGCATTGATGCCCCCATTGATTTAATGGACTTTTCTGCCACCAGGGCGGCGCCACTTTGTAACTAGGTGAAATATTTGACAAATTTAATTAACCGGAATTAAAATTATTAAAAAAATATAAAATTTAATGGTTTTTCCCAAAATATTAGTTATATTTTAAATTAATTAGATTGAAGTGGATAAACTAAATTATACATAATAAACATAAAAGTAGAAATATTAAAAAGAGAGTTAAATATGCAAAAAATTAGAGAGCGACCACTGAGGCATTGCTTTGTGTATATGCGAGTAGATTTAAACGTTAGAAACGGAAAACTTTTATTTCAATCGCATCTTTTCACTTATGGTGACTCTGTGTCGCAAACCTCACCTCAGGCCCAACTAGCGACATCTAGTGAGCGGTAAATTATTAGCACTCATTATTGGACGCCACGTGCTGGAACGAAGTTCTTTGTAAACAAATTAACACCTTCCTTCGCATAATAATTGTAGCGATTTCTTGTAATTTCTTGTTTTAATAGAGTTCGAAAACGAGAAGGTTCTATATTCGACGTGTATTTTTTTGTGTATCTTTACCAATTTCTCGGAAGGCTGAACCCATTAAAATAATTATTTTTTTATTAAGTACCTACGAGTTGAAATTTGAAGAAAAACATGTCATACAAGGGTGGAAAAAAAGGGAATGAAGATTTAAGACTTAAGACAACATTCTACTTGCTAGCATAAGTTGATAAAATAATAAAATTTTAACAAAAAGTACATACAAACAGACTTCAAAATTAAAAAATCAAATAATTTCCACATAGTAGCTTCTGAAATCGGGTGTTTAATTTTTCGAATGTCTATATCTTAGAAGCTCTTTTTACTCATGTTAAGCCACTACTTGACTACAATCCCACCGGGTGGTAAGCGGTGGTGTAGAAAAAAGCGTTATTATAATATCAAGTAACACATAAATGAAAATAACACCTGAGAATGAGGTGATCGCCACCATGTTGGTTCTATTAATATTCCTTTAAAAATTGTACAAACAAAATTATGGTAAAGTAAAATATATTTAAAAAAAAGTACCGCTGGGTTTCTTGCTGGTTCTTCCCAGGACAGGCATTTTCCGAACCAGTGGTAAATAATGAAATGACTTTCAATAAGTATTATGTAATAGTCTGTATTAGATAAAAATTATTCTATTCTATTCTATTCTATAGCCCCAGATGGTAAATCGCATTGCAATAACGTATCAAAAACAATCTTGCCTTGAAGACGCCCAGATTATATTCCGACGGAAAGACAGACGCCGGCAAAATATTCCACTCTTTTGCTGTACTTATTAGGCTCAATTTACATTGCGAAATGGAATGGAAGCGAATTTTTGTAACGAAATTGTACATAGTAAAATGAATTTTATGTTAATTGCGTAACGTGCAAACTAGATATGATAAAAGAAGACGCCCGACTTCTTTTTTGGTTCATATCTAGTTTGCACGTTACACAATTAACATAAAATTCATTTTACTATGTATAATATAATTCGCTTCCAGTCCATTCCGCCGGAATGTAAATTGAGCTTTACAAAAGACGAAGCAAACCGTTTGGTTCTGATGCGTGGAATATCGACAACAGAGTGGTGAAAACCCGATCACCTGGTTGTCTGATGGTGAAAAATGAATGGGGGAATCAAAGCATGTAATTTTTGCGCACAGACACCGAAATGCAACCTATAGAATACCGAGACGCTGGCTACTCTGCGCCTGGCTGACAAGGTTGATTTCGAGCTTTTATGTGGAAATTAGGGTTCCGTAACCAAAGGGTATCCAACGTGACCCTATTACTAAGCCTCCGCTGTCCGTCCGTCCGTCCGTCGGCCTATCTGTCAGCGGGCTGTGGGGCTCACCTACTATAAACGTGTATTAGAATGATATGGAACCTTTCATGCGCAAGTCCGACTCGCACTAGGCCGGTTTTTATTATAATCCCAGCATTAATTTAAATTTTAGTTAGCATCTCAAAAACATATAAATTTTAATTAACATAATAAGAAATGAATAGAGCGTTTGAGAGGCCAGTTTCTCCCTATTAGTATGTAAATTAAATATATGATGACTTAATCTTTCTTTTTTTCTTAAAAAAAAATGTTTATACTGGAGGCATTATCTGCAATATTGTATAAGGACTAACATTTGGAAGCCGTGTAGTGGCGGTGTAAGAATATCATATCATCCCGTGGGTGTCGTAAGAGGCGACACAGGGAATCTGGAACAGGAAATGGGCAGCAGCATCTACCTAATAACAACTTAAAATAATAAAAAAACTACAGTTGCCAACCCGTTTGCCTAGCGTGGCAACTATGCAGCAACTATTTATACGTGGTAGAGCCATGCTGCAGCTATATCAGTAGTATAGTTGTAGCACGAATGGGTCGGCTCGACCGGGGAAGGAGCACGCTCTCACAGAATACCATCGTAAAATAGCAGCTTGACACTGCTGTGTTTCGTATGGTGACTGTAGAGAACCGGAGACACTTTTTACTGGAAAAGAGGCATTCCATCTTAGTCCTCACGGGTGACAACGCATCTGCATTTTGATTCGCAAACGAGGATAAATGTAGATGTCTATGGGCCACAGCAACCACTTACCATCAGGTGGACTGTGTGCTCGTTTGTCACCCTATCCTATAAAAAAAATTCTATGTGGAAGGCCTACGTTCAGCGATGGACTTTTACAGGCAGGAATGAAATGGATAACATTTTGAACCAGGTCAATAGTAGGCATTACAAACACTTATTACTTGCGGGATTCGGGACTCAGTACCCCTCAGCATCGCAGGCAGCTTACCTTGTTGCGTTACCATGCCGTTATTTATTAATACAAAGTTACATACTCGTATATGTTCATTAATTCATTGATGAATATATACGAGTAATAATATTCACAAAATCTTAGCGGACTTAACGTCTTAAGGCTTTCCCTCCTAATCACCCAATAGGCCGAGCGGTGATGAGCACACAGGCGGTGCAAAAAAAAATGAAAAAGTTAAATATTTACACCAATTACCTTCTATATATAACTTATTAAAACATATAACTTTATACTACTTTTAAACAAGGTTGTACGACCAGTGCGTGTTTCCAGTGATGACTTATGGATCTGAGACGTGGTCCTTCACTGTTGCTCGTATAAGTAAGCTCTAACTCGAACTATGGATAGGGCTATAGGTACTTTGGGCTTCTCTGCGTCATATACCTACTTAAAAATAAGGATATCGATAGTAGAATAAGAGTAGCCGACAAAACTCAACGGATTAGTAAGCTGAAGTGGCAATGGGCTGGCCATATAGCTCAAAGAACCGACAACCGATGGGGAAGAAAGGTTCTCGAGAGACCTTGTAACGGTAGGTGAAGTTTAGGGCGGCCCGCCACTAGATGGAGACATACAGGAAGTCGATGGATGCAGGTGGTCCAGGAGCGTGCTTTGTGGCATTCCTTGGGGGAGACCTGTGTCCAACAGTTGACATGTGAACGATTGTAAAGAATGAATAAACTATATCCTATTTCAGAATAAACAAAAAATACTATCGTTCCCTTTTCCTACATTTTACTTGTCGTAGGAACAATATATATTATTTTATTTTATTTTACTACAGCATGGCCAAAATTTCGACATAACCAAAGGCTTTGTCATAGCCCTCCTACGGGAGATAAAGTGACAAATTATACTCTTCGGTATTCTGTTCTATGTTCCGAAGCTATGTGTTCTATGGTAGGTAGGTAAGGTACGTGTGGTAGTTCTACTAACATTTTCAGAACCCGGCTTGTGAACAAAAACTGTAAAAAATATTTTTCTTAATTGAATAGAAATGTATACGTGTGATAATAATACAACGCTGTGGCATCGTAAGAGAAGCCGAGAGAGATAGAGAGAGAGAGAGAGAAGGAAAGAGAGAGAGAGAGAGAGAGGAAATGAAACAGCTGCTGCGGGGCAGCATCTTCCTTATAATTCAATATAATAACAAGCTGTGGTTGCCAACCCGCCTGCTAACCGCGGCGATTAGGTCAAATAACCCTATGAGGCAATCTATCGGGAGGCCATATTCAGCAATGGACTTTTGATGGGCTGTAATGATGATTATGGTGATGATGATGATGATGATGATGATGATAATGATGCTAATGATAAAAATAATAATACTAGGATTTAGATGCTTTCAGGTTGTTTCAACAAATGTATAACCTCTTACGAGCGTCATATTATACACCTTTATGTATAGAAGCATTTTATGACACTGGAGAAAAAGACCTACCGACAATGATAATCTAATGACAAGTTATTTAGCCTACAAAAGAATATAAAGGTACAGATAGACACACATACATTAAAAATTTAAATTGAAAATCTTAAAAATCCCCGAAACAGAAAAAGCTGATGATCTTCAAACAGCTGAACAGATTTTTTGAATCATAGCTAAAAACACTCTCGATTAAGATACCTTTCAAAGGAAAAAATTTAATCAAAATCGTTCGTTCAAGAGCTATGATGCCACAGATAGACACACAGATACACACTACAAGTACTACACTGCAACACCCCTCTGTTTTTGTTGAGAGTTAAAAACAAAAGTATTTTTTAATAATTCTAAAATTTTGTAAAATAATTCTAAAATTAGCAGTGAACTCAATCCAGGTCATGCACGGTGACCGTGTTCTCTAAGCTCAAAGGTGACTTTAGACGTTTAACATTTCAAAATTGTAGTAGTTAACTAAATATTGTTTTTATGTAGCACTTATAAATATATTTCATTTCATTTTATATCTCACTGACCCAATGATTGTTCTCAAGGTGAGTGATTTACCTCTCGCACTTAATAAAAAAATAACAAATTGTACTCGTTATTTAATTGTATATAATAGTTATTTGTGTCGAAGTAAAGAAAACATTGTGCTTATTTTTTGTGACTAACCTATACATGTATATCACACTAGTAAGTAAGTATTGTTAATTAATATCATAAATATTTTCATTTTAAATATTATACAAATCGTATTGACCTAATAACCGGTTATTCTAACCAATTTAATATTTGACTGAACTTCTTAAAATTAAAATAACTTAAACTTGAAGTATATAAAATAACTAAAAGTATATAAAAAAAACATGAAGTTAATCCTATAATTTTCTTTTTTCAGAGCATACTTCTGGTATTTGAAATCAACATTATTCCGAAAACCGAAATAAAAACCACGCAAGACTGGTTAGGCCTCGTCAACAGAAGCGCTGAAGGAATACCATCGGATGAAGCTAAATTAAATATAGATAAAACAACATTAAAACTTTTAACCATCCTAATTAAAGCTCTTCATGAAAATAAATATCTCAATAAAATTATTGGTGACAATACTACCCCAAAACCACATCCAGCCTATGAAAGGCAACATACAACTGAGTTTACATACAAGAAAAATGTTTTTTCCGATCGAAAAAACTGGTTAAGATATCCAACATCTAGAGTACTTGCGATCGAATATAAAACATCGCCTATTATGTATTTTAAAACTCCAAAAAACGATTACTTTACAAAGATTAGAAAAATCAGAGACTATCAACGAATCATGAATTATGTGGACAAAATGATAAGTGACCGCGTAACTTTCGGTTCAACTCAACCAATGAAGAAATATGAAGATTATGTGCCAGATAGTACACATATCCCAACAATAGTTACAAAGCCAATAAATCAGCGTTTAAGTCTTAAAAACTTTAAAGGCGATTCTGTAATGTCTCAAATATCAATAACTACAACTAAGAACACGACTCCGAAAAACGAAAAATTAAATAGTTGTAAATGTCCCAAGCAAATAAGCGAAATATTAAATAATTTACTATCGAATATACAACTTTTGATGCCGTACTATGCTACTACGGAATCTATAATTCATACCTCACCTTGTGATAATACAAATGCAAAAGTTCATTCTTCTAAAGAGAAAAGTACTTCCTTCAATCCTATTGTTACTAATAGGTTTGAAAAAATTAATGAAAAACGTTTAAGAGAAACAGCAGAAGCACCGTGGTATAGCACACCTAATTTAAAAGCAAATAAACAGGAATACATTCTGTCGAATCTGACACATTTGAAAAAAAATCACGCAAATAAAACCACTGTACACCCAAAATTTATAAGGCAGAAAATTTATTCTATTAAAACTCACTCACAAAGAATTGCCACGACACCTCCAATGGCTATCGAAAGGACTGAGATGTATGAAGAAAAATCTACAATGCCGATATTAAATAAAAAAATTACTAAATATGACCCATTACATTTCAATATTATTTCAACAGGCAGTAAATTACAACATAAAAACCATGTCAAAAAATTGTCATCAGAACTAGATTTCAATGAAAGTAATTATGAAGTCGATTTTGGTTCTACTACAGATATATCTGATAGCTTTATAAATCTTGACGCTCACAGTTTGGAACTCGTTAAGAAGAAGATAATTACAACGAGCAAGAAGACGAAAAAGATTATTATCAAACAACCATACACAAATATAAAAATCAACCATTCTAATAAAATACCCAAAGCAAAGTCCTATAATGTATATAGCAATATACCATTAGATTCAAGAAAAATATTTTATCCTATCACATCTGTACACTATTTGTATCATCGTCATAATACAACTATGCAACTAACGTCACCAAAAACAATAACTGGATTTGTATCAGCAACAAAAACAAAGGAATTATCGATAGCAGCAATTACAGATAAAACAACACCTACCATATCTACAACAAAAATTCCAGTAGCAACTACATCAATTATCGCAAATACCAGTAAATTACTGGAATTCAATGACACAATTAATATTATAAAGAATAAACCAGAAACTGAATTTCAACTAATGAATCAAAAATCTAAAGAAGAATCTACTTATCGTTCAGATGAGATAAACTTGGATGATGATTTTGAGAAAATTATAATTGAAGAAAATTATCAAGAAGATGATCTCAAAGATAGACCAACAGATGATACAATGAGCGCACTATCGAATGACTTATTTCTAGAGCAGAATGTAGGACGTATTCTTACAAAATTACCAAACAAGCAAGCAGATTTTAAAGAAAGAGAGAAAAATACTGACTTTTTATTCACATCAAACGCTCTTCACAATAAACCACGCTCATATTTTGAAATTCAAAGGAATTATGTGAAACACGACGATAACTATGATTTGAATTTAAAGTAGTTATTTGAATACGTTTTCTTTTATTCGTCCGTTGAATCATTTATTTGTATTTTAATTAAGTGTTATGGCCGAAATAAAATTGTTTGTTAAAAATTGTAATTATTAAAGCCCTATAAATTTTAATCATTTTTATTTATATGGTACAATATAAAATATTTTATTTTCTTTAAATGTTTCAGATAGTTCTACTAATCTACGAGTACGCGATTGCAGTAGAAACAAGTTTAGTACAAAATAAAAAAATCCAGAGCAAATCCAAAAAAGATAATAACATAATTAATAGTCCAATAGCTTATCGATTAGATCGAAGCTATTTTGGATTTGACCAAGACTACTACAAAAAAATGCCCCTTCTTGTAAACGCTATGGCTGAAAATGGTTACGCAGAAACTTCTACGGAGACTATACCGTTAAAACAGTTTAAAATTAAACATGAAATGCGTTATGAGCCACAAAAGCCAAGAAATATCTATAAATCAGTACGAAAGGCAAGTCCAAGACCCTTTCAGTTTGAATATAAAAGTTCTACGCCGTACCCTTTTCGAAAAATCTTTGGAACAAGAAGCTGGGTCGAAAGTTATCGTAATGCTCAGCGAATGAAAAATCTTAAGCAGATAATGGTATATCTAGGCAAAACTTTCAATGCTAAGGTTGGTGATTTGCACACAACTCCAACACAAGGTCATATTGCCTTTTCCAGAATTTACTTTCAACCCCAAAATTCTGAATCGGCTATAAATATGTTATCAAATCTCAATAAAGTCGAATACCGTCATCGATTTGATCCACTATTTACATTCAGACCAAATAATCCAGGAGATGTTAATTTATTAGCTGAAAATTTTTTAAGATTTTCTCCAGTTTATACTTACGAAATTGCAGAAGAAAAGTCACCTCAAGCACATTTTCAATATGAAAAAACTTTCAATCACAATAAAAAATTTGAGAAAAGTAATATAAATGTAGAAATATCCAATAAATATGAAAATAATAAAGAAATGGACTTAAAAAAGCAAGATTCGTATCGTAGCGTAACTTTTGACTTAAAATCCTACGATTTGTCAAAAATCAAGTCACAACAGCCGATAAACACCTCATCTGAATTATTTAAAAAAATCTATATAACAACTTTACCTCCCAGTATACAGTTTAAACCTAGATCAACAATGCCTATCAGATATTCAAATTTTAGACATGAAAGACCACCTCTAATGCCAGAGACAGAAAAAGAAAAAATAAATGTGACAAGTAAACCAAAAATGGAATCAACAGCTCACGAAAAAATAATAGTTCGCACAAATGTTTTCCCAACTAAGACAGCTATAAAAAATGACGAAATAGATAAATTTGTAGTAACTACTCTTCCAACTCAAAGATACGATAAAGTTATACGAATAATTAATGCAAATGAAGTTGAAGATTATCACGCTAAAAGTTCTGGAATAATTTCTGTGACTACACCACGAAACTTACCTCGAGTAACGTCTATGATACCATTCTTTGATAGTACCGTCTCGTTGCCAGAACAAACTCGGTCTATTTATTCTCCAGATATTATTAAATTTAGTCGAGAAGATGCCAAAGTGCCTGATCAATATTTGACGATGAAAACTTTAGAAGACACTACAACAGCTGCCACAATATTTACTACACAAAATATAAATGATAATGTTGAATACGATGACGAAAATGATGATATGGAAGCTAGTACACTTATTATTAAATTAGTAAATAATGTTGATTTAACTACACCGAGCTTTAAAAAAGAAAATTCGAATAGAACATATGAACACAAAGTAACCAAAAACACATACGTACCGCAAATCAACGGTCATTATAGAAATATGGAGCATAATTTAAAAAGATTAATAGAGTTATTAAAAGAAAATTCCGAGAAATATAGAATAAAGAGACTTAAATCATTAACAACAGTTCGCGCCCCAACTTATGTGCCAATGTATGTTGAAATTAAAAGAAATCATACCAAACAACACAGCGAAAATAATGAGAGTAACACATCATGAAAATATCTAACAATAAGTGTATCTATTTATACCATTATAAAAACCATATTTTCTTAGCTTCCCACCGAAAATAGATATTTTTCTTAATTTTAATTTTAATATATTTTTGTTTCAAGCTTGGCACTTGACGTAACTAGTAATGTTTTATAAAAGCGTATGTATCTGCTTGGTAGAAAATAATTAGTAGTATTTTCCTTGGATGTTCGTCACTTATTACTGATTTATCATGTTGTCAAATAAAGTATGTTCCATAGACTTAGAATGTACTTTCCTAAACCTATGGTATGTTCTCATGTTACCATGTATTTTCGAACGAATAACGAATTTACGAAATAAATTAAAGATTCAAACATGTTGGGAATAAGCAAATATATTTAGTTTGAACTGATTTGTATTTTTACATTTTATTTTATTTTAAAGTCATTTCTTTTATTTAATTTGAACTTGCTTATAGATGTAATGAACGTCAAAATCTACATCAGTTCACATGAACAAGACATTTTTAGAGAAAAAACGGGAAGAGACTCTGGTGTTTTTTTTAAACCCTCCACAACTTATAATAAAATGTCAAAGGTCAATAGATATTTTTAAAATATTGCTTAGAACAAAAAATATTATTAGTAGTTAGGTAACTTTAAAAAAACGTTACCCCACTAGGATTTACTTCTGTATGGAGGCAGTTTACATACATAAATTGCACGTGGATAAAAATTATTTGTTGGCCATACAAACACTTGTTCCGCGCGGGATTCAAAACCGCGACCCTCAGCAGTGCAACTCAGTGCTGAGCCACTGCGCCACGAAGCCGTCAATGGTCAAGTGCAGAGTAAGAATTATCAAATCCAGTTCTGTCCTTATCTTTATGTTAATATAATATGTAAATATAGAGTTACGTATATATAGCTGTATTATGTAAAAATTCACCTAAATGTATGATCACGGATTATATAATTTTTTAATTGTATATGAAATGGTAAGAGATGCAGGAAGTCGATGGATGCAGGTGGCTCATGGTTGGGCTTTGGAGCATTCCTTGGCGGAAGCCGGTGTTCACCACGGGACTTGTGAGTTAGGTACTGTGATGATGAATAGAGAAATATTTGTATAGGTTGCGGACAGATTTAAAAAAAATAAGCGACGATAAAGATACTCGTGGGTAGTGCTCAAAGATAAAAAAATTTAGGCTTAGTATGTAAAAAAATAAATAATAGTTTAAAGAAACTGAAAAAACACGCTTATGTAGATAACCGAGCTAAAAAGTAGAAAAGATTAACATAAAAAAATAATTTTATTGTAAAAAAGCATGGGTTGCTATTTCAGATATTTTTATGATGACGCTAATTTACAAATATCCACAAAAATATTTACAACAAATGACATCAAGCACCCCACGCTTTTTTACAATAAAATGATTTTTTTATGTTAATCACTATTTTCTTATTTTAAACTTATTGACAATTATTTTCTACTTTTTAGTTCGGTTATCTACGAAAGAGTGTTTTTTTAGTTTTTTTAAACTACTTATTTTCTATTTTCTACCGACTTCAAACGGGAGGAGGTACTCATTTCAGTTTTTTTTTATGTGCGTTACCTCATAACTATTTTCTGGGTGAACCGATTTCGATGATTATTTTTTTTATTTGAAAGCTGGTGCTTCACACTTGGTTCCATATAAATTTGATCAAGGTCTGACTATTAGTTTTTGAGTTAGTATTATTAATAATTTATATTGAAATCGGTTGTACATCATTTTAAATTTTAAATTATTTAGTGCGGCTAACTACAAAAGCGTAGTTTTTTTGGAACGAAGTTCTTTACGCGGCTTACAGTGGATTGAACTGGCAGAAATCGTAGTTGTTTTATGAATTATTCGCAAATCCTGCGGATCCTGGCATGAATAATGACACAAACTATTTAAATTAATGCATTGTCATCGGGCCTTGATAAGTGTGCCAAGTATCAAATCAATCCGACGTTTTAATGGGGAAGAAAATCACATTCAAAAATTCCGTTACATAGATCCATACCAATCTAATAAGTGTGTGAATAAATCGATGTGACATACACGTTTGACCTGAATTAATCTACATTTTGTATAGTAGCGTTGTATTGTTTACCACAGAGTACTTTTAGGGTTCCGTACCTCAAAAAGAAAAAAAGGAACCCTTATAGGATCACTTCGTTGTCCGTCTGTCTGTCTGTCTGTCAAAAGTTAAAAAATTCAGTTGTATTGAAACTTTTTTTTAATTATTTGAAGTCGGTTAAAAAACAGACGAATGTTCATATCATATATTATATTGGATTAGTTGGCTTGGCTCACGTTGTTCTGCGATTGCTACTAGGTGGCGTGATGGGTTTACTTCGAATTCACTCCGCACTTTTAACAATTTAAGGCCGGCCGCACAGAGTAGTTACTCGTAAATGGAACGTCAGTAGAGCCTAATAGTGTTTTGTGCTTATTTTTATAGAATTTTATAGAAGGTGACAAACGGGCACATAGTTCACCTGATGGTAAGTAGATGCTATGACCTAATGACATAAAAATCAAAATGCAGATGCGTTGTCACTCCTGAAGACTAAAATGGAATGCCTCGTTTCCAGTAAAAAGGGTCTCCTGTTCTCTACACTCACCATATGAAACAGCAGCATTAAGCTGCTATTTTACGCTGGTATTATGTGAGAGCGAGGTCCTGTCCCAGGCGAGCCGACCCACCCGTGCTACAACCATACTATAGCTGCAACATGGCTTTACCACGTAAACAGTGTGGCTTGCTAATGTATACTCTAAAATACCCATTTAAATTTCTAATTCCCAAAACTATAGCTAGAGCACAATCGAAAGGTGGTTCAAATTCTAATTAATCAAATCGAACGTGTTAAGCGGTCTGCCGCTAGATGGCACTAGTAACCGCGTGCGACGAGAACGCTTTTCCTTGATATTTACTTATATGTATATCTAGGAAAAACTATTTCTAG